TCAAGAGCCCCCATCACCACCACCACCAAACAGCGGTGTTTGCAGCATGAGAGGCCAGGGAACAGCCAGCAGAAGTGCCATTTTCTCCTTACAGAGTCCAAATAAAAAGAGCACACAAAAGAGGGATTTGTCGTGCTGCTCAAAGCAGCATTAGCTCTCCCTCTGTTGTTCAGTGACCCCACCAGACGGGTCACAGTGCACAGATGCTGGCATACAGCCCTTGCCTGCAGAGCCACCAAGAGCCATGCAAGGCACCAGAAAGGAGACCACAGGCTGAATCTCTCTCCTCCCTTCCCTCCCTCCCTAAGATCTCACATTTTAGATGTCCCAGTCCAGCCAAGCCCACTCATTTTTCTGCCTCTTCTAGCCCTCTCCCCCTTTGAAAGGCTCAGTCTTCCCTTCTACAGCCTTTTCTTTACCATTTACTATTGTTTTTACATTTACATTTACCATTGTTCATAAAGTGCTAGGAGAAGAATGGTGTTACATAACTGCTAGTTATTGTTTTATCATTTTTTAGAGTGATGGAAAAGCAAAATGGGAATGTAGACTCCCCTTGGGGCCAGGCTAAGCAAACTAAACTTACGTTACTGGTGACACAAAAGAATATTCACTTCAGTATCCCCAAAATGGAAGAATGGAAGGGTAATGCATTTTGGTACATACTGTCCCACACAAAATGACAAGCCATTAATAACTATGGCATACAGGCATGTGTGGGGTGAGAAATCTTCCATGATGTAGCTCCTAGTCAAAAGAGTTTACAAAAAAGTGTTGATCTGTTGGTTTTTTTTTTACATTTGCAATGATTTGCTATTCATTAGGCTCTGTTACCTTGTGGCTTTCGATATTCCAAAGAGGTTTTATTCAGCTTGCCAGCTTGCTTTTCATTCCAGGTCAGCTAACATAAAATCAGTAATGGTTTGGACAGATTTCCTCCTTGTAATGAGCCTAGAATTGGCATACATAGCCTAGACTCTCTTCCTGATTCACATTTACAGGAGCTTTTTCAGAGTGATTTGGTTCTCTCTTTCTCTCATATTCTTTTGTGGCAGAAATTTGCATCGGCATGTTACGAGGCTTCTGCACTGTTTGTATCCCCAGCACAGATACTGAACTCAATGAAGCTTCTTGACACCAAAATCAATTACAGCAAAAGCAGGTTCTCACTGCTGGAAAGCACAATTACACTCTCATCCAGGCCAAAGTTGCAATTCTTCATGCAGACAATCCTGGTACTCGGTTTGCAACTGATCATGTCAAGAGGACTGCTCTGATGAGTAGTGGCTGCAGGAATAGGCGCTCTTTCTGTGTAAGAATCTGGTGTTCTGATTACAGTGCCCTGCACTTGTTGTCAGGCTCACAAACTGTACCACGTACCTACGTATTTGCACCAAAGTCCAATGGGAACTGATGGCTCTAAGGTTTCAGCAGGGTATGTAGTTCATCTTTAAGTAACAATCTCAAAGATCAG